GCTAATAATGTGTTCCTTGTGATACAGTGATACATTAAAAACCTTTCAAAAGAAGACCTTGTGTAGACATTCTTTTCACTGTCTAGCTGGTTGCTGAGAGAAGATCGCCTCTCCTGCCTGACTGGTACCTGTAAATATCTTCTTCCCAGTGCATTGTTATATTAGACAGGGCGCCACAAAAAGCCTGTGTTGTAACAAAGAACCCTTAGAAGGACAAGCCACTAGGCAACAAATTGAAATGTAATCATAAATTGCTACAAATTTAAAGGCAAACAGAACGTGACCTGTCAAACAAACCAAGCATATTCTTTACTGCCGACGTAACTGATTCACTTCATTTTACTAAAACAATCCTTTTGTGATGTGTTCCTATGTCTGCTCTTTATCTTTAAAAGTCAATGATTTATCAGCAAGCATTCTTTAAAGCAATGCTACTTTACAAAAGCAAAGCCATGACCTATGATCTCACTCCCAGTCCGCTGAAAAGAATACTTGGGGTCTTCATTAAGGTCAGAACATTCATTCGTCAAGTGAAGGAAAGCAATAATTACATGGGATCCTTAAATGAGACTTAACAGCTGTAGATTTTCAAATAGAATATCTCATTTGGAATCTATTGAAAATGTTCATTTTAAAAATGACTATGAGTTACAGTTAATATTATAAGTAATATAGTTACATCAAACCATTACTGCATTGTAGTGAGGCATGATAAATTGAACAGAATCTGTTTTTTTTTAGATTACCCATCATCCAAAGCTCAAAAAAAAAGATAATTAATTAACACTGTTAAATAATCTTTAATGAATATAAAGATTATATCTAAAAATATCCACCCAAAGTCTCACAGAGTTATAATAGTTCATGTTAATTTTAATAGATATTAATTAATGTTTGAGGCTTGATGTCTGTCGGTGTAACAGTTGAGTATCAACAGTAATGTTCTAATGCTGCATCTTCCTCACCTGCCCCGTCTGGCTGCCTTCTCCCTCAGTGCGAGCAGCAACAACTGAATCTCTGCTTTTAGCAGCTCTTTAACAGCCGGGGGGTCAGCCAGAGGGAATATGGGGGCTTCTGGCCTGCTGCCCTTCTCTGAGCAACGGAGCTCCTTCCAAATCTTCTCCCACATCTCCACCTAGAACAGGTCAGCAGAGTAAAGTGTTACAGGTTATTGATTTTTCCGTACATTTCTGCCATATGTACATTGACTGACAGTCACCACTGATAAGCTACCACTAAATATTGTAGAAACTTAATTTGCTGTAAAGTTGCTTTGCAATGATTTGTATCGTGAAAAGCACTGTACAAATAAACTTGAATTGAATTGAATTACAGGAGAACGCTGTTTGGCTCAGCTTTGTATGAAATGCACTTTCCAAATCCCTGTTACAAGCTGCTCTACAACTAGAGAAATGCAGCCAGTTGGTTAACATCCCATCACACGTGTCTCTAATCTCTGCTGAGTTGAAGAGAAATGTACGCAAGAAACTGGTAATTTGAGGGAAAATCCATGTGTTATTCTCACAAATGCCCCACGCGAGGTGAAAAGCCAGAGAGGGAAATGAAAGCCTGTCACGGCCCTGGCAAACAATGTCTGCACTCTATTACCAATCTCCACTCCTGTCTTGGGACTTTCAAGTTTCCCTCAGACTCTGAAAATTCACTTCAAAGCTTGTCGAAGGCAATGCAAGGCAGAGTAAAACCAGCTCCCTGAGTATTTGATCCTGCTCTGCCTGCATGAAACCAACTTCAAGCCTAAGTAACTCTGCTGAACACAGGCCAGCTTCTTCTTATTTCCACTGCAGCTTCTGCAGAACCAGGTTTGATGTGCAGAGCCACCAGAGAAACATTTCTGTGAGGATGCAGGCTTAAAAATGTAGGTGAGCTAATGCAAACTTTGATACAAAAGAACATTTTTTCTTTTCTTGTTTATTCACTTTCATATTTTTATTGAATAAATGTACTCAGGGATAAGCTCTGAGGCAAAAGAGAGACAGGGAGGGAGGAAAACTGACAGAGAAACAAGATTCTTAGTTTTGTTCTTTGTTTGCATCATATAAGTTATAAACATTACTGGAATTCAAAAAAGGTTGCACTGAGAAAAATATAAAAACTGTTTACCGCCAGAATTACTGACAAGGTACGAAGCCCTTGGTTGCATTTGCTCAGACAATTCATTATCATGATCACTATTATTATTATTATTTGTATTGATTTTTTAGCTTCAACACACATTCAGAAGTCCTTATCTGGTGTGTCCATATGAACAGCAGAGGGGGTTTTAAACAGATGGTCATAAATCCTATTTAGTGTTTAGAGGAAGGAGGAATCACATACGTCTTTCAAAGACAAGTTTCCACCCACTATTTCCATATGCACATATCGCTGTGTGCATATAGTGAGAGCCTATGCAGTTTGTAAAAGAAAATTTATCTTCGAAAGAGTCGAATCTGAAACAAGTAAGGTTTGCATTCCATACACTTAGGATCTGCGAGATAATGCACTCTTGGGAGCTGTAATTCAAAACCGGTTTAAAGTTACACATCAGTGCATACTAGCTTACTTGCTCATGGAGACTTTTTCTAATTCAGTGCATAAAATTATAAAACACAAATGCATATGAATGCAGAGCACAAAACTGTATGGGCCTAACATTATCTAAAAAAAGTATAGACTTACAAAGCACAAATGTTTAAAAGATTAAAAAAGCCAAACCCTAATCTAACTTAAATAAATAAATATATGCAGTCACCACCTCCAGGGATGTTTCCACTTGCCTTTCAAAAAGGCAAATATAGGAACTGTATTAAACATCAAAAGGAGATGACATGAATTATGTAGTCTGGACCTTGCAGTTATTTTTTTAATTGTATGCCTACTATATATGTACTTTCAGCAAGTACTTGTTTTGTCTTGCCAGACAGTCTGATGCATAAATATGACTTATTTACCTCTGAATATAACTCTGCGTACGTATCAATCAGTGTTTCTCCCAGTACAGCTCGGATCTCAGGAAGCTCAGACGAGGGAACATTTTCCTTCACTAAATTCCACACAGATTGTTGGCGTTGGAAATTGTCCATGAGGCCGCTATTTCCAGAGCTGAGCACAAAAGCTCATCACTGGCGAGCATTCGGTTTGTCCATACTGGAGGGAACCTAGCTGGAAATAAATACATGATAACACTTTATTTTAGGGTGTTCTTGTTACGCATGTTACATGTACTAACTAAGTTATTCTAAAAACAATAAATTTATGCATAATTACATGCAAGTAACCCTAAACCAAGCCCTAATCCTAACCGTAAGCATATAGTAAGTAGCCTACATGTAGGCCTAGTTAATTAATATTACTCAGTACTTACATGTATAATTACACTGTAACAAGGACACCTTAAAAAAAAGTGTAACCATATACATAATATAAATAAATATAGTCCTACATACGTTAAAAAACTCATACAGTATTCAAATGCTCTGATACAATGTACGAAGGAAAAGAGCATGATGAATAAATATAATTCGTAAACAATTATGACCTGATTAAAGAACATTTGCAATAAAACGTTTAACAAATATTTGGATGCTTTAAACCATTAGGACAATGAAACGAGGTGATTTGTGTAAGATTTAAGATGGCATACATTTGTGCAAGCATATACAGTAGTTTTAGAACAAGCATATTCACCACAGGCGGATACTCACCAGAACAATCGTAGCTTCCTGTATCAGCGTAAACATTTCTGTTCCTATGGAGACGAGCTCGCGCACTCAAATGATTGGCTGCAGCACCCGTGATAGTGATCTTAATTAACCCATTCAGACCCCCTCTACTACATTACAAATACACGTCACTTTTTTTCCCCCCAGTGATTGAATTCTATTAAAATGTAATATTTGTTGGAGCTTTATGCCTGAATGTACAAGGATTTTGCATTAACTTGAAAAAGTTTTTCATAATAGCCTATAAAGAATGAGAATGTGACGTAACGCCGCGTTGAGTTCTGGGAAACTGCTTTGTTTATCCGCCATACTTGCAGGATAGCGCTGCCTTTTTAGGGCAGTAACGTTATTTGATTGTTTGTCGTGATTGTGAAAAATGTCACCAATATCATTCATACTGCATCGATAATTGCAATAGTAACTCAGATCATTGTTCTGAGAGAAAACTGGACAATGCAATGTTTTTTTGCCTTGTCTATGTTGGCCATGGAAAAATGAATATTTATAATGACAACAATTATACTTTGTCATTTAAAAGTTTCCAACAAAGAAATGGATCGACTTCTGTCAGCTTGTTGAACACACACTTTTATTTGGATAATGTACCATATGATGACTGAAGGCAGCAGCGAGCGTGCAGAGGGCGACACTGTTTTCACGCTAATCGGGTAACGTTAAACACTGTGAACCAAATTCTACAAAACCTAAGAGAGAAATGCAGTGCATATCATGCAGTGCGATAAAATAGCTTCTCTTCCCTGCAAACGATACAATGAAGAATGAATGGTTGTTTAACTTAAAGGCAAAAACAAAACAAAAGATAAGCATTTATCCTTATAGAGAATGAGAAGTAACCATGGGAACGGATAGCGTATCCTGCTAATATGGCGGCGCCTTCCCGAAATGCAATGCGGAGTGAAAAGATCGTGACGTAACTCCTCATTTTCTATACAAGTTTTACACACGTCCATTGTGATTGACGTGATTATTCTTTTTTCTCTCTTTTTCTTTTTTATTTATTACCATTAAAGAAATAAAGCATATATTTGGTGTTTCTGGAACACGATGGTCTGAATGTTATTTCCCTGTCTAATAGCAAAAAGATGGAACAATGAACAGTGTTAAATGGCATATTATGGTTTTACTCTTTTTTTTTTTTTCTCAATAGACACACAAAGCTGCAATGAAAGCGAATGCCTCATAAAACTACACCCTATCAATATTCTGGAATTCGGCTGTCACGTGTAAATTGAAACATAACCCAGGAGGCGTAAAACTTTCCCTGTGCGCAACAGCCTCCAAAGCGCACACAGTCCATTCTGACCATGAAAGGATTTTTAAACTTTATTTAGTTTAGTTAAATAGACGCGTGCAATAGAAAGTTTTTAAACATAACAGTCTTTCTTATTTATGCTGCATTTGCAAGTCTTGGTTTGGCACTGAGAAGTTTTTGGTGATGGGCATGGCTGTACTCTGGGGTTCCCCGGTGAGTTTTCTTCATGTCTGGCTTACCCTGGTGATCTGCGGCGAGTGTGCTTTGGCTTTTTCGGTCGCTGGACAACAGGAGACGATCTGTGAGGCGAACGGTAGTGTTTATTATGTGGGCGAATGGTACTTTTTAGACTCGGATCATTGTACCCAGTGCGAATGTACAGCAGAAGGGTCTGCTTGCGCGCGGACCGAGTGCACATCCCTGCCTGCCGCCTGCATCCATGTCAGCCATTACCCGACAGACTGCTGCCCGAGATGCGAGAAGATCGGATGCGAGTACGGCGGAGAAGTCTACGAACTGGGCCAACAATTTCAGGTAAAGTCCAACGTGTCTGTAAAGAGTCTACATATATCCACAGAAAGAAAGAAAGACATTTTTACATTTCTAACTGGGCATTAGGTCTGAATGTTCTCTGGTTTTATATTTGTCGTTTTAATTGCTCTCCTAAATAATTGAACCCATAACTTTTTGTCACATTGCTTGCAGTTTAAACACTTGTAATACATTAATGTTGATGTGTAATTTGACATAACAGTGACAAAATAAAACTATTTATTCAGAGAATAGCTTAATGTTATTTTATGATTTAAATATACACGTATTTCTATTCGCAATAACTGATTAACAGATGAGTGAACATGCCCTTTTTTCTTTTCAAGGTTTGTTACTAACTCCATAGGCTTTCGTTTCAGTTGTGTCATGTTTTGCCTAGGTGGTGACTATTGTTTCAAAGTTTTGGTATTGGTCCCAAAAGAACAATTCAAAATATTTAGCGCCATCACGTGGTTGATGTTAAAATGAATTACGTCTCCATTTGTGGTGGAGATTTTCTACATTTTTGAGCAGGTTACATCTTAATGCCAGTAGGTGGCAACACGTGCTTGTGTAATGAGTGAGAGTGTCATTAAATAGTTCACTGAACCGATTCGTTAAAACACTGAATCAACCAAAATAGGCCTTATTATCCTTTATGGTTGTATCTTCATAAACAAGGATCTGCTGAGCAAATCTGTAGGCATGCAAATTTGGAGTCTCAACTGACTCTCGTTCATATTCAAAACGGCACTTTGTTTAGTGAAAAGGTGTTTTGGTGCAATAGGTCCAGCTCCTGGGGTCCAACTAATGAAATGCTTCTTAACAGCTCACAAACCAATGCTGTTTGCTAATGCATTAACCAAACTCTGAATACAGAAAAGCATGTCATGCATTTCAAAAGAGAGTATGATTTGTTCATGAAAAAGATTCAAAATAGCACTACAGTAATCTTTGTTCATAGGAACGGGTATTGCATAATACAGCAAAACTAGTCTTAACTTGTCAAGTTGTTGACTGTTTATTACTTGCAATCCACATAGATTACAATGTGAGAATTGGGGGAGAATCAATTCAAATGGTTCAAACATACCATAACAAAAACTTTATCATGGTAAGCAAACAAATAAGATAGGCTACATCAATGATACATAAAGACTTAGATTCCAATTATAGGTTGAATGTACCTTTTTGTTGAGCTGGAACAAAAGCAGCTCTTGCTTCTGTAGCATAATTGTTTAATATGATCAAATACCTTCCATACCCTTTCATGAACATAGTTATGCACTGTGTAAGTTAAAAGCTAATGCAGTCAGATTCTTTTGTTCTGAGGCAAGGTGAAGCACAAATCTGATGTACACTGGGCTGAAATCATAATGAGCAATTTAATACTCTGTTTGAGGAGCTGAAGAATGAAATATCTCTGGTGGCACAGGCTTGGAAGAAGCAGGGCTTATATGTGCTTCATTATCTCCCTGATTTGGTTATTATGGCTAATGGGGAACCCCTGAGGGGAAAATTGAAGCCTTCTGACAGACTCCAAGGAATGCACTTTGCCTGAGCTGACATTATTTTCATCCAGTCCATTTAACCCAACCTCCAGTACTGAGCCACAGGTGGTAATGTGGCACCTACTTAAACAGCAGTGTGGGAGTGGAATTTGATCACATTCTTCACATTGTAGGGCATTAAAACGCAGTGCTGGATTGGCACAACAAAAATTGTCAGTATATACAAGCTGGCAATTTGATAGTCCCGCTGGTTCTGTTTAAAAAGCCGTTCAAAGGAATAGAGTAATACATGTGTTTTGGTGGAATTGCATCATATGATCACCTATTTTCAACTGATGTTTTGCATTTGATTTGCAGCCGTCAGCGTGTGAGCAGTGCACCTGTCACAGCGACGGCATCGCCCGCTGTCAGGTCGCAGACTGTGCCCCTCCACCATGTGTTAACCCAGTCTATCAGAAAGGGAAATGCTGCCCTCAGTGCAAGGATGGTAAGGTTTTCAGAAGTGAAAAAGAAAACAGTGCCATATTTGTAAGGCTCATTACACTTCTATTTACTGTAATTGCCCAAGTCTCGACTAACGCAGTATGACATTCTCATAGCCTCAACACATACATGCAGGATACAATTGTGTTTGGTCTTCGGTAATGATTCTGCATGTAATATCTTTATATAATTCATTCAATAACAGATGGGAAGGTTCAGATGCCGGGCCATGTGCTAGGCCAGTTTCTGCACCTGAAATAAGATAACGCTCCTTATGAGTTGAGCTTCTTCCGTATTGTTTTCTCTGTATACTGTGAAGTATGAAGGTAATTATAGTGTTTACTGAGAGCAAAGATAAGGCAGGCATGTAGGCAGCCAAAACAACACACATAAATCAAAGCATATACTTCACCAATGTGATAAATGGCCAGTTCCTCAAATGATGTTGCATTTTTGTCTATAAAAATGGCCTCTGTGGGGGAAAATGTTAAATGAAGTTTTCTGTTAATCTAAAGTAACTTCCAAATTAAAGTAAAACCTTATCTTAAACGTTAAACACTCTAAAAAAGCAATGTGCCTTTATCTACACTCCAAGGTTTCCTAATTAGTGGCACTTGCTGAGGTTTTTCAAAAACTCCTGACCTTATTTCAGTTCTGCACATAACTTGTCCAGCACAGTTTGTGCTAAGGACATGGATGACTCCTGAAGTTGTGCAGGCTTTTGAGGACAGTGTTCCGCTACTTTTCTAAGCATCTGAATGTAGAGTTACAAGAGAGAAAAAAATCCAGAATTATAGAGACTTGAGAGGCTTTTCTGACTTGGACTAGTAAGTAACCACTTAGCAACACCCAGAAAACCATTGCAATAGAGTAAGAAAAAGCTCCAAACCACCTTCGCAATCACATAGCAAAACTTGAGTTCAGTGGTTCTCTACTGGGGGCCTCAGCAAACATCTAAAGGGCCACAGGATGACTTAAAATGATTTAAATTATAGTTGTATTAAAATAATCCAAATTATAGTTTATGTGGGGGCCTTCAAGTCAAAAAGATACCATGGCAATGTTTTCTCCATAAATATAAGTAGTTTATTTGAAAATATTATCTCTTAAAGGTGAAGTTTTCCATTTCTGCATCTCTTGTATCACCAAATGGAACTGCAAAAACAAGGTTTTCTGGACACTGCCCCATCTGCCATTGGTTGGACACATAGTCCAATAGCTCCACCCCAAAACTTGTCAGTATCAAAACAAAGCTTTAAAGGAATAGTTCACCCAAAAATTAACATTTTGTCATCATTTACTCACCCTCATGTCGTTCCAAACATGTATACGTTTCTTTCTTATGTTAAACATAAACTAAGATATTTTGAAGAATGCTGGTAATTGATGGAAATTGATTTCCATAGTATTTATTTTCCTAAGTCAATGGGGACTAACAACTGTTTGGTGTTTCAAAATTCTTCAAAATATCTTCTTTAGTGTTCAACATAAGAAAGAAACTTACACGGGTTTGGAACGACATGAGGGTGATTAAATGATGACAAAATTTCCACCTTTAATAGTGGCACTGTGTTACAACCTGTGTATTGCATACATATAACTGTCTCTGTTTATTAGGATGGGACAGCAAAAAATATTTTAACTTTGAAAAAATGTCACAGTTCACCTTTAACTACAGACAATGGGCCTCATTAATCATCTCTCTCTTTGTGGCTCCAGGGCCCAACTGTTACGTGAATGCCTCTAGGACCCAAGTGATCCCTGGAGGTGAGCCAGTGTGGGTCGACTCCTGTACCAAATGTCGATGTCATGACGGTCAGGATGCAGGTTACTGGGAAGGCAACCGCTTGGCAACGTGTTCCCATGTGCACAACTGCCAGCCTGACAAGGGGCTAAACTGAGAAAAGAGATCAAAAACAGGGTCATCTTTCATCCTTGTTTATACAATGGATGACAAAACTCGGCAGATATTTAAACCACACTTGCAGAAGAAAGTGTGGAGGCTATTTAGCCTACAAGCTTTATATGATTAAAAAACAGTCTATTCTTCTTCTTCTTATGTTAACTAACCATTTAACATCCATTTGTTAAAGTACAATGACTTACTAAGGGATATTCCCTAATAAAACAGACAATAGAGCTTAGTACTGAGACACCTTTTTGGACATGCGAGCATATTAACATCTACAGTACATTGGGCACTGTGTATTGCACACTTGCACCGGCAAATGCAATGATCATCCACGAAACTAAATTTTTTATTGGTGTTTTTACACATTATTTTCTGCTTCAAAAGCCTGAAAACCAAAGTATTGAGAATGCAAGACTTACATTACTGCCATGCAGGCATGGAAACAGCTAATGTAGCACCAAATGCAAACAAACCTATCATAAATGAATGATGTATAAATAAAGCAGGCTAATTTTTGCTTGATTTCTGTTCTGACACCTCATTTTAAAAACTGTGGTAATATTACTTCTTTTTTTCTTCTTCCGAGGACTGTATTTGCAGCACTGACAGAATGTACACAAATATAATTAAACCACAAGTGATCTACAAGTGTCTTGTCTTATTATCCCATATATGAAGTTAGAGGATGTTTGTGTTGTTATTTCTACTAGTTTATTGCAACATCTGTCACATAAAAAAATAACTTTGAGAGGCAGATTATTGAGTTTCCTGCACAAGGCTGACAGTTTAGAGATACGATGCTCCCTTTCCAATAAACTGCCATGTCCCTGAGCACTGATTTGGACGGGTGCTGGTAAGGTGGGTGTTGAAATAATCAGGTGTAAATATGAGATTTATTACTTTGTTCTGATCCGTTTTAACTCATAAATGACTTCTTATAGATTCCATATTCCATACACACAACAACAACATTATAATATGGCATTCTACATTCGTTCCAACCCAGAAACTCAGCATTTAAAGAGTAACCCATCATCAGATTCTTGTAGCATCAGATTTATTGATTGTATACAAAAAGTATGTTTGATATGACATAATGCATTCTATATAAGATATAGTATTTTGACATTCAATGTACAAAAAACCTTGATAGACACAGTAAGTCTTTAAAAATGCGCCCCAGGCATGAAGACCTGAGGTCATCAGTAGTTTCTTAAGCAAGTCATTGTGTAGGTGTGGAATACTTGCCCACTTCTGTCCCTCTCTCACATTAATAAGCATCGAGCGCAGATGGAGTTCATTCCAGAGAACGACTGAGGGCAAAAAGGGTGATGGAGGAGAGAGGGTGAGCTTTACGTACACAAGTCTGTGTGTGCAAGCTTTCAGGATGGGAGGGTTTGCTGACCCAAGAGTGATATAAAAGAATGGCATCAAAATAAAAAGCATATTCATTTGTGGCACCGGTGTGATTTTGCAAACTATAAAGCGAGAGTTGCTGAAGAATAGCATCCTGACCTCAAGGATTGCATTTGTGCTTTGCAAGGTTGGTAATGAGAGCTGTGCGAGCTTTACTTGATTGCACTGTTAGCACAAGAAATATGAGTAACTTTGGAATGGAACAATCAGCTGATCTAAATGTATATACTTTTATAATATTATCAAATTCCATTCGAAACACTAAAGAATAATGCAATTCTGTATCTACACTGTAGAATATAAGCAGCTTTTTTGCCATCGGGGCAAAATTAAGATCAAATAATTGATTGTATCACCAGACTAACTTAAAAAATTGAGATTTCATCATTTTCCTCACTAATAAGAACCATATCTACAGATTTCACACCATCCAAATACATGGCCTTACTAGAAGCCCTTAAAGGTGTACTCAGTAATTTCATACGTAATTATATATATGTAAATATGTAATATTTCAAACATTTTTGCTCACAAAGACTGCATTTATTTGATCCAAATTACTGTAAAAACAGTATTATTGTGAAATATTATTACAATTTAAAATAACTGTTTTCTATTTTTTAACAATGTTAACTGTTAAAATCGAATGTATTCCTGTGATGGCAAAGCTAAATTTTTAGCAGCCATTACTCCATCTTCAGAGTCACGTTATCCTTCAGAAATCATTCTAATACGCTGGATATTTTTGAGGAAACACTGACACAGGATTCATTGATAGACAGAAAGTTCAAAAGTTCAGTGTTTATTTACTGTCACTTTTGATCACTTAAATGCATCCTTGCTAAATAAAAGTATAATTTCCTTAAAAAACAAAAACCTTTGAATGTTATATAGATACTGAATAATTTAAGCCATTTTCATAAATCTGCCATATTAGTGCAACCAACAAAAATGACCGAGTACACCTTTAAATCAATATAAAACAAATATTTTTCAGAAGAATAGCTTCACATTATACACTATCATGCTGTATCAAGCCTGACAGATTACATGCAACAATGTGCGTGAGGCCTTCAATATGTTGGACTTAGTTCTGCTCACTCCGTATACACCATATGGACTGCATTTTCATTTAGAAAAGATAATGTAAATGCGCTCTGCAACATTGTTTCTTCTTCAGTTTAAAACGCACTTTGATACATGACCTCGAAAAGGAAGTAATCTCATTTACTCCAACAGAAACAGATTTCGATTTCATTCGCCAAGACATTTCAGGACGAGCATAATGTCTTTTTAATAAGGATATTGGCTTGAAATCTCATTCGTGTTGAAGGTTTAGGATTCACTGCATTCTACAGCACTGTTTCTCGGCATTTGAAATGCAGGTCACAGCTAGAGTAAATATGATTCAATATGATCAATGAATAGTTCTGAATAGTGTGCACAGATGGATGTCAACTTTTAAGGCTATTAATCCATGAAAAATCAAAGGGCTTGAGGCAAAAATTGTGTCAGGTAAGTATTAACAGTTATTTCGCTTGACGGCCAATGTACAAAAACCGCGTGGCAGAAGTGATGCACTTATAACTGACAGGTAGTGGTACCCATGAGACAGAGGTGATGAAATACTTAAGAAGGAAACAATGTTAGTGGCACAGTGACTGCTTGGGTCAGCAGTTAAGACAACATAAATGCACACACAGAAATGAAATGGGTTGGTGAGGCTAAAATGAAAGGCATGAGGAGAAAGACGAGGAAATGTGTATTTTAAAAAGGACAGGGAGAGTGGCTGGGCTCTCATTAATGACTTCCTCTGTGCTGGGCTGAAAGAATCGTTGATAGCACAAAAGAAGCGTCCGCACACGGCGCAGAAAAGCCGATAAGAGAGAAAAAAAGAGCTTGAACTCTCCTCACATTTACCCCTAATAATACATCTGAAGGCATCAGCTTGGTGTTTTCAGGTAGTAAAATAAAAGGTGAAGAAGGAATAAGGAACAGTAAAACAACTTTAAGAGGCTTGCAAAGTATTGTAAAGAAAAGCAGTTCAATACAGTTATTCAGATCTTTTTGGAAGAGGTGAATACAGGGCCCAAAATTAACATTAGCCAAACACCAAATACAAGTGAATATCAACATAACATTATGATGAATTATGAAAATTATGGAAACCAGATAAATCTTATATTCATCTATGTTTTTGTTTTTATCTGTTAATTTTTTTGTCCTCTGTTTTGAACTCTGTTCAAAAGTGTGGGGTCTTTAAGATTGTTTAGTGGTTTTGAAAGAAGTCTTTAATGCTGCATTTATTTGATCGAAAATTTTTCTATTTTAATCTTTCTATTTTAAGATTTTCAGTAGCCATTACTCTTTAGTGTCATATATGATGCTTCAGAAATCATTCTAATATGCTGATTTGGCACTCAAGAAACATTTCTCATTGGTACCAATGTTGAAAACGGTTTATATTTTTGCAGAAACTGTCAAACATTTGATTCATCTTTGATGAACAGATATTCGAAGAGCATTTATTTGAAATTTAAACTATAACAATGTAAAAGTCTTTACTGTAAGTATTCATTGACCAAAAGTATTAATTTCTTTAAAAATATATCTTACTGACCCCATACTTTTAAAGGGTAGTGTATGAATATTATTCACATTAAGCTATCAAAACAAAAACATGAAGGAACAGAATTATAGGTCTTCATGTTTTTGACAGTTTTATTGCACAGTTAAGGCTGAACTAGCTTCTTAGTGAACTGTGTCTCCTACAAATATGCTAAAAACGGCAGCTAATAATAAACAAAAATATGTTCTTATAAAAAAAATGCCAATATTGATTATTGGCCTGTAAGAAATTATTACAATACGGTCTGTAAATTTCCTCAAATAACTCGAATTGGAAGTTGTGGCAAAACATTGAGTTTGGACCCTGGGTGAATTTTTTTTTGTTGATATAGGACATATCAGAGAATCATTTAAATAACACCTCCAAAGATGATCATCAAAAGAGGCGCGAGACTCTAAAACTAAATGACATGGGCATCAAAGCACCCACCACCAACTTCATCCTTCACGTTTTTAAAAAAGCCTTGATATATGACAGATCTAAATATGAATCTTTGAGGCAAATGAAAGTAAACAAAGAAAGAGTGGCTCGTAGCACAGTCAGTTTTGAGCAGGTGGTGATAGATACAGAGGTTTGATCATCAGTAACGTCTACAGAAGCTCCTCTATCTCTCAGCAAAAGTTCTTGCCGTTTCTCCAGGCATCTACACGGCAATCCATTTGTACCATATTGACTGACAGTCATGTGCTTGTAGGACTAGTCCAGATCCAGTCTAATCACATCACATAGTTGTCCTCCAAGTTCCCATGAATACATCCCAACAAAGGTTTCATCCCAGAAATGCTGAGAAGTGTTTTCACGGTTGACAAAATTAATCTTTATCCCAAGAGACCATACAAAATAAAAGAGAGCGCAAGATAGAGACACAATCCAAAGGAGCCAACTTCAAGCACCGATTAATCAACCTCACATGATCAACCAACATCCGAGATACGAAAGAAGAGATTTGAACACTGCAAGCATCGCAGGAACAAAGACACATTCGCTTTTGAAATGTACAGTATGTTCTGACTGATTTACATCAAGTGACCAGGCTGTTCTTCGCAGATCAATGTCACTTACCAAAACCAGAATGGAACAATCCTCCCGTTAAGAGCCTAAAAGCTTGAATTGATCCTCAAGGTCTGAACAAAACAGCCATTGGAGTATGATATTTCCGTCCCTCCAGACACTGTGCACATCTCGATCTGGATCAGGATATGAATCTACAGTACATCATTGGATCCACATCAAGCTTCCATGTATTCCTGAGAACTAACCTGTTCAGCATATCACTGCTGTATCATAGGAAGGTGACCCTGGGCAGAGTTTGTGTGTGTGTGTGTGTTTGTGTGCTGAACTTTAAGAAGGTCATGGTATCCTCGGTCCAGTACCGGAAGCTCTCTATCCTTTGAGGGGTCTGGGTGGAGGCTTGCCGATCTCTACGGAAATGTTAGTGTAGAGCGGATATTTCTTCACAGACACCACTCTGTACATCAGCGAGCTGATCCCATCTTTCCTCATGGTGTTCTTGGTGTTCTGGATCTTACTGAACCTGGAGAAAGAAGAAGAAATACAAGCAGTATTAGCTGTGCCATGGTTTTCAGAAACACAAAAGGACTCAAAGTGGACTTGATGAATCTTCTCATACATCTATTTTTTTATATAATGACGGTATAGACTGGTTCAGCTTCAAAAAGCACAAAAGCAGTGCAAATAAACCCTAAATGTGGTCTATACATCTCACGCACAATATTCCAAAACATTCAGACCAGAAAAAAGTCCAGAATTGTACTTTTAAGGCATCAATAGCTTCTCAGTTGTGCACTACCCTCAAAGAGACATTTTTGTACCTTATTAACACCTCAAAGGTTCATGGAAGCACCTTAAGGGAACATACAGTATTACTACTCTAAGGTACTAATATGCAACTTTTGGAGGAAGATGAGGTACAAAGTTGAACCTTTAAGGGTACTGGCCCAGTTACAAGCTGCTGTAGCTCTGAAGGTACCATTTTTGCACTTTTTTTCTGACTGCAAAAATCCTGATGGACTAATAATCTTAGAACTAGTCTCATAACTAAACGCCATGACCTGCACGAAATGTGCGATGTTTGAGTTGAAATCTGCAGATGAAGGTTATCAGTTAAAAGCATTACCTTTGGGTCTATTCATAACTCAGAATTAGAATTTGGCTTCAAGAGACTTGGGATATAGCGGATTGGGTCACAGAATCATTTTTTGGTGCTTTATAGTGCTTTTTGACAGTCCATGTTCACTGGAAAAAAATATGTAAAGGAAAAAATAACAACATACAGATTTGGAACAACAAGTTTTGGGTGGAGTATTACCTTGGCAAGGTTCAAGTCTCAAACCAAATGTTTGTTGTAAATGTTCTACCACTCAACTGTTAGAACGCATACTTGTAAGTCACTAGCAAATGACAATGTCAAATCAATTTAAGTATCATAATATGGATCACTGACATACATACACTAACATACCAATGTCAACCAGCAGGGGGTGAAATAACACTTGTAAAGGTGCACAGAGCATCATTCTCACAAAGGAAAAAACAAATGGTCCTCATAAAAGATTTCCTCTGTGTCAAAACACGTTTGTTATATAATAAGAGTTTTACACTATAATACATCAAAAAAAAAAGGAAATAAAAACAGCTTTATGCTGTGGGCACTGGAAAATATGAGAAAAAGAGACACGGGCGTGCGTATCAGAATCCCAACGGTTTATCAATAAAATGAAAGGTTCTTTAAATTGAATGAGCTCAGCTAGAAAAACAAAATACCGGAGTATTCAGGAGCTCTACTTCCCCAGCAGTGTTTTATATTACATCTTAACCTCTCATCTCTTAAGACACTTAACATGATATACATTTGAACATTTCGGCCTTAACCGAAGAAGATCTGTACTAATAAATAGCACATTTACTTTGAAAAATGCCACAAAAGTAGGAAAGGGAGTTCAGGTTGTCCGTTAACCGGTAGCTTGATTTATGCCACGCTATCAACTTCCATATCAATGTAGGTACCACGAAAGCTATTACGGAGTCTGCAGATAATGATTTATGTACACTGCTTGAATGAAACTAAAGTATTTGATGGGGCTCACACTGAACTAGAATTAATATTCATGTGGACCGGTGTGTAGCAGCACGAAGGAAGGTTGATGAATAGAAGCCTGGTTCCTCCGGCAAGCATAACATCTCATTATGGAGGCTGATGCTCTTCTGCGGAGTGACCAAACAAAGACGGCTGTGGCAGTAACAGAGCTGAGGAGAGGGCAACCATTCATCAAGTCTAACAACTCTTCTTTTTAAATAAGGGTGCGCTTGGAGAACGCAGCCAGTTACTCTTCTTAGTCATACTGCATCTCCATGCAGCATGTCTTAAAAACAAATGACCTAAACCTGTGTGACAGGGAAATAAAACAAAACACTTAAAGCGCCAGGAACTTGAAGTTACCACGGCTTAAATGGTGCAGGAAGTATTAGCTGCCCAATACAAAAATATAAATTGTTGTTCAAATGTTTAAGAAAAATAAGAAATAAGAAATAATTATTTTATCCAGCAAGGATGCATTAAATTGATCAAAAGTGACAATAAAGGATAACACTTTACAATATTGTTAACATTAACTATATTAGTTAACGTACACTATTTATATAGTATTTATTAATCTTAGCTAATATTAAGATCTAGACTTACTAATACATTAATAAAATGTAAAGTTGTATCTGTTAACATTGGTTAATTAATGTCCTGTAAAACAACATGAACATGAACATTTTTATTTACTAACATTAACAAATATAAATAAATGCTGTAAATATATACTGTCCATTGTTAGTTCATGTTAGTTAATGCACTAACAAATGTTAACAAATTAGACCTTATTGTAAAGTGTTACTCAACAAAGAGATTACTAATGCTACAAATAGATTTTTATTTAAAATAAATGCTGTCCTTTTAAACTTTTAATTTATCAAAGAATACTGAAAAATCTGAAGGATCATGTGACACTGAAGACTGAAGTAATGGCTGCTGAAAATTCAGATTTGCCATCACAGGAATACATTTTGTTTTACATTTTATTTGATCAAATATAATACAGACTTAAGCATAAGAGATTTCTTTCAAGAACATAAAACAATCTATAAATTTTTTAAAAAGAAGCAAAGAGAGAAATTGATACAAATGGACAGATATGAGACATTAGATGCTTGAGTCTCACACCTCTTTGCATGATTTTACACTGACATAAATACATTTCTAGCCGATACAGTACTTATTTTTATGTTATGGACGATAACAAGGTAATGGCTGCTATTAGAATTCTATACTACTTCTTCAAAAAACAAAACAAAACAACAACAACAAAAACACTGCAATAAATAAAAGCAATATGTTTTTAAATGCTACAAGTGAATTTAGGCCTCACAACATAATGTACAATATGTACAAACTATACAAAATTTGTAATTAATTTGGATATTTGCTAAAGATTGCATTTAACTGCTAAATTAACTAGAAAAGTTAAAAAGTGAGAGGGAGAACAAATTTATCCTATCCTATTTGTCCTAGCACACAGTTCTAAACAAATTCCTAAGGAAATGAGGCCCAAATCTATATATTACCGCAGAAGGTATAAGAGAAACACAAAATAAGTAATGTTTGAAAGTGCTATATAAATAAATGCCAGTAATCCACAGCATTCCCCAAATCAGCTTTCTTCATCAAATTTCCAGCTCGGTTTTTACAGGCAGTCATGTTTGAGACTAAACCTCTTATCACGTACAAACGAGCCATCTTAGAATAATCCCCACAAGCCTCTAATGGAGGCAATAAAATCTAGAGAGGAAGGGATCATACGCTAAATGACTTCCTATTATTCCCGTTATGGTGCTAATCAATTATTAATCAGATGCCCAGATGAGTTGTGACTCTGCCACCTACACTGATGCGTGTCTGGGTGGGTTATATCAGCGCTGGCAGAGTCAGGGAGTGTTTCAGAGGAGGCCCGTGGAGATCCATCAATCTCTGACCGCACTTCCTGATATATTGATTGTCAGCGAGCCGCAGTGCCCACGTCTGCGTCAGTCTGTGGATGTTCATCATCATACGGCTGGCTCACTCGGTTAGCACACTTACAGTAAATGGGGCACTAAAGTAAAGCTTTTTCTGACTTACATTTTTATTTTAGTGCTGTCAAATCGATTAATAGCGATTAATCGCATCCAAAATAAAAGTTTGTTTACATAATATTTGTGTGTGTACTGTGTATATTTATACACTACCAGTCAAAAGTTTTTGTACAGCAAGATTTTTAAAGAATTCTCTTCTGCTCACCAAGCCTGCATTTATTACTGTCCAACACTTTTGACTGGTAGTGTATGTATATAAATACACATACATTCATGTATATATTTAAAGGAGTAGTTCACTTCCAGAACAAAAATTTACAGATAATGTACTCACCCCCTTGTCATCCAAGATGTTCGTGTCTTTCTTTCTTCAGTTGTAAAGAAATTATGTTTTTTGAGGAAAACATTTCACGCGCCGAATGTCGTGAACGCGCTCAGGACAGTTGGACATTGCGGTGGATCAGAGGTAAAAAATTATATAAATACTGTTCAGTTTCTTGCACAGACCGATCGTTTTGTGTCTTTACACATCAATGTATCGTCACGAGCCGCAGGGTTTAATTTGGTTTTGTCTGTGCATGTTTTTTTTTACTCTCAAAGCCGTGGAGCCCATTGACTGCCATTCTAAGACTGATAGACTGCAATGGTTTGAGTTAAAAATCTTCGTTTGTGTTCTATTGAAGAAACAAAGTCACCTACATCTTGGATGCCCTAGGGGTAAGCAGATAAACATCCATTTTTCATTTTTGGGTGAACTATCCCTTTAAGAGATTTCACATATACTATGTAAACAAAAGCTTTTATTTTGGATGCGATTAATCACGATTAATCGAGTTGACAGCTCTAATTTATTTTAATTTATTTATTGAGTATATAACATTAGGAGCCCTGGGTCACTGAACATTATTTAAAAAAAAATTATAATTATAATAATAAATATTTAATAACAAATTATGTTCATTAAATATTATTTTTTATTCATTTTGTAAGTATATAACCTTCACTGTACCAGTAAGTAGCCTGCTTATTCCTCCAAGGTTTTCTTAGAGGAACCCTGGGTTAATTGAAAAGCATTAAAAAATGTTTCAGCAAACGATAAAGTGCACATTTTCCGGTCTGATGCTTGAACCAACCGTGGATCTCAGCGACAGACTCTGCATCATTTTCCCCGTTTGAGACAGAACACAAACAAACGACCTGTCTGTGACAACAGACCCGCTTTAGCGTGACATGTTTCAATTCATTAACTTCAGCACAGTCTCCTCATTCATTTCTACCCAGCGCTCTTCTGTCCTCTCCAGCAAAAATGAGTTTAGCATGCGCTCGTGGCTCTCGGGGTGGGCCTCGCTCATTACTTCAATTGTCTGAGCCACTTGTAGGAAAAAGACAAAAAGAACGAGGAAGAGCAGGACATAAATAGAGAGACAGTAAGTGAGTGAATGAGAAAGAGATCAAGGGAAAAAAAGAATGAGAATGAAACTGAGCAAAAGCGAATAAATCACCGACTCTTATCTTTGCACAGTGAGAGCTGAGTGAAACCTCCTACCAGAGAAAAGACCAATCCTAACTTTTAATGGCATTTCTTTTGCTTCTGTCTTGCCAATTCGCTCAGAGCTCTCCCAAGATTGACAAGCACCAAGAAAGAGTGGACCAACCTGCAACTGTGGGAATCGTTTTGCAATTAGTTGCTCTGCTGTGAAGCTTTTCTACCTGGGAACGATCTGGCTCGCAGCCCAGCATCCACGGATGGGCTTATCGACTCATTGATCGGGCTATTTTACACCCAGTGACGTCTGAGCTATTCATGCATTAAGAACCTCCGCCAGCAGGCATAAACACACACACACAATCATATTTCTGAGACTGAGTGCATCTTAAATAGATGAAACTTTCTTACAGCCACAGATAATTGAGTGACAAAAGCTGGACAAAGTTTGCAATGCAACAAACTAGCAATAGTACTGGGTGGATTATTACACAGTTACATAGTAATAGTTAATTTTTCTTTTGACGAAAATATTTCTAAAATTGTCAGTATTTCATGTCATATGTCATATTTTAACAAAATTATATCATTTTTAGTTTTTCTTTTTAAATAAAAATATAATTTTAACTGACAATGTGTAAAAATATATAATATACTGAAAGTTAAAATTTTTAAAAATGCATAAACATTTAAACATATGAATAAGAATAAACGGAGAAAACATGTAAAAAAAAAAAAAAAAAAAA